ATATATATATATATATATATATATATATGGATTGATGTGGTTTAAACATTTGCTCTAGGAGACAGGATTTCCATTGTCTTCACCTATGCATCTTCATTGTAACAATTAAGCAGCGTACATATAGCATTTAATCTCGTTTTTCATGAGATAATGAAAAACATGGAGGATTGTCATGAGAATGTTCAGAGTCGTGATGTTGATTTTCCCTATATCAAGTCAAGGAGTCAACTATCTAACCTATTTATCAAAGCATTATTATGGAACTGTGACATATACTCTCCAGCTTGAAGGGGAAAGTTGAGAGTATAGGCTGGCTTGTGCCCCATATTATGTTTCCCACATAACAATGCAGTTGCAAGAAGAAATAATTTGTCTTTTACCATTCATTCATTGTACAGAGGAGAGTTTAGAATCAGCTCAACTCAGTTCAACTTTATTCCCAACTATTTAGGGTCAGCTGCACATTCACTTGATATCTACCCAGATTCTAATTTCTTAATGCATTACTGATTTTCATGTTTACCAAGCCAAGCCAAGCAGGAAGTAAGGTCATTAGGCATCATCTAAACAACGAGTGAAGATACTCTGCAAGATCTTTTAAAAATCTAASCAAATCTACGAACATCTTCACCTCTTCTAGAAATTTTGTCAGGGCCTATGACAGTCTTGGGTGACCTTTGTCCTATTGTATGGGCTATCTGGGTGTGGGCTTACAGTAGCACAAATGCTCTTCCATTGAGAAGCCCAAACTCCAAGCTCATCTTGAGGTTCGCAAAGGCAGTGTAGATGTTGGAGAATGAAAAGGAAAAAAACTTGTACTAGAATGTACTTGGTGGGTAAGAAGGAATTCAGGTATGGTATAGAGGAAATGAGGGAAAAAACAAGGGTTTCAGATTTGAAATATAGATGTAAATAGAAAATATAAAAAGAAGAAAGAAGAGATTTGAAATATAGAAGGGTTTCAGATTTAGAGGAGAGAGAGGGAGAACTAAGATACTTCGATCAAGATCTTCATTATACAAACCTAATTCACTTAAAAGAAATACTCCACTCAGTTCACTGAAAGGCTTATGATTCAATATTTCCTTGGTGGTTAGGTCAAACAGCTCATTCAAGTGGATCATACATCAACCAGTTACTTGGATATATGTCTGTTGGAGGTGTTGGAAGAGCTGAGTTAAATTTTGGCTGTTCTTCAAATCATGCTTTTATTTTCTTGACTTTATAAATAAACTCAGTGAGTGCATGATGGTTTAGATTTATTTTTTAATTATATATAATCATATGTTTTTTATATTTCAAATTTATCAATTGACTGAACTATCACCTATTTAAAGTTTGAACAAGTTAATGATTAAATTGTCGAGGTCAGTGGTTTACTGACCAAGTCAACAGTTTTCGGCATATAATAGATTTAGGGTTAGTGCAACCTATTTTGTTATCCAGGTGATGGGTTGGATGGTCCAACCCTTATGCACCTGCTTTCTCTTTCCTCCCTCTGAAAGACTTGAAGAAAACTTTGCCTTACCACCTGTACATTCCATATGTACTTTGACCAATTTGGCATTTTCCCTCTATTTATATTAGCATACAAAAAGACTTATAAATATGGAAGCCCAAACAATTTCCTTTTATGTATGCTCACATAATTGGCTCTTGTTTTTATACAACCTAAGGTTCCTTTTTGTAAATAGCATTCTAAAACCAACTGGGTGGTTAGTCAAAACAAGACAACTTCACAACAATGTTTTATGTTTTTTCTTTTTTCTTTTATATTTTTTGGTTTTTGTTTATTTTGAAGGTGGGAAGATGGACTTTCTGACCGTGTGGAATATGATGCTGCTGGTAATGTTAAGACTCAGATTGTCCGATCTCCTTTTGTTCAGGTCAATGTCAATGGATGTGATTTTTTCTTCAAGTATTTGCATATAAGCTTTTTCTCAAATACCTTTGGTGTTTCTGTGGTGCAGATACCACTTGGTGTCACAGAAGATAGACTTATTGGTTCTGTTGATGTTGAAGAGTCTGTAAAGACCGGAACAACTGTTTTCCAGCCAGGACTTCTTGCTGAAGCTCATAGGGGTGTTTTATATGTTGATGAGATAAACCTTTTGGATGAGGGTATCAGCAATTTGCTTCTTAATGTTCTAACTGAAGGAGTTAATACAGTGGAAAGAGAAGGAATCAGCTTTCGCCATCCATGTAAGCCACTTCTAATTGCCACTTATAATCCAGAAGAAGGTTCTGTACGTGAACACTTATTGGATCGCATTGCAATCAATTTGAGGTAAATAAAACATTTTAGTATGAACTTTGGCAAAGGTAGCTAGATCTTTTTCAGTTCAAAGAGGTATTGGTTTTCTGTCAGATATTACATTTTAATAACATAGATGTCAGGTGTTGTAAAAATACTTTTTTTTTTCTATTGTCTGTTATTTTAATGCTGAGACCATGGTTCTTGTGCAGTGCAGATCTTCCAATGAGTTTTGATGATCGTGTAGCTGCTGTTGGCATTGCAACACAGTTTCAGGAACGTAGCAATGATGTCTTTAAGATGGTTGAGGAAGAAACAGATTTGGCAAAGACTCAGGTAAGTGGTGTTTCTCATTTATTCTGCTTTGAGAACTTGTAATTTCCATTTGATATTATCTTATTACTGAGTGCACAGATATTTTGTCTGCCTTCAATTCAATTTCATGGATGCAAGTGCAACTCCTTTCAGGATGTCTGTTGATGATCCTTTAATTTATTTCTACAATGTATACATATGTACATACATATATACACTCACTCCCACTCATACATCTTTACATGAGAATGAAGAAATGTTAGATGAAAACATACTTAATGTGCATGTGTTTTTACTTCTAAGATGTACATAAGGTTCAAAAAATGCAATTTATATTGTGCAATCCATCAGTCATTCTTCTTTAGAAATTTAATCACATACAAATATACTTGTTTGTAGTGCATAAAATATGAGGGATTGGTCTGTCTGGTTATCAATAAGCCCATGGTTAACAGAATCTATAATCCTTAGAAAATTCTGCTTGGGAATGAATCAAATTTGTGATTCAAATTGTGTCAATGAACATTGTAAAATAAAGTTCATATCTTATCATGCAAAATATGCCAAAGCATCAGTCTATATATTTTAAGTTTTGTGCTGCTAATGCAACAATTCCTGATTCCCTTTTCATGGTGCTTCTTATCAGTAAAATGATGAACTACTTTTTATATGGTACTCTTAGGAACTGGCTGTGTTTTATATCTTTGGCCACACAGATAATTTTAGCGAGGGAATATTTGAAAGATGTCAGTATCAGCAGGGAGCAATTAAAATACTTGGTCATGGAATCTCTTCGAGGTGGCTGCCAGGTTTATCTATGAAACTCTTTCTTGATTTATAATACTGTTCTATGTGTGGTGGTAGACATTTCTTGAGGTAATATTGTGAAAATGATTCATTTTTTAAGCAAAATGTTTCATTTGTATTTTGTGTTCTGAGATATATATTGAAAAGGGTACCCCATTTTCATGTTTTTCTTTTATCATTTTCTCCGCTTTGGCTTTCTATGAAAGTATGTTTTTCGTATTGGAGTTTTCTCTGTACCCTTTATACCCCCTAAAGTTTTCCTTTTTTCTTGTGGTGGTTTTTTGGATAATCAACTGAAGGATTACTTGTACTGCAATAAAAGAAAGCTCCTTGCTATTACAAAAAATTGGATAGCAGGTAAAATACAACATAGCTCAAGGCTTTTACCCCAACATGATAAAAAATTTTACAGGTCAATCCTAGGCCCAGGACTGCTCACCAACTCCAGACTTTCCTGCATAACCACTGATTTTGCAAAAGAATCATTCAAGAAATTACAGTTCCTGGGACCCACACGAGTTTTTTAATAAAATTGTATATTCAACAAATATGTCCTTAAAAAAGGAAATATGATATGACATCTTATAAGCATGGAGGAACGAGCATGAATACATGACTAATAAATATTTTTGTTGTTTCCAGGGACATCGAGCTGAGCTATATGCTGCCCGTGTAGCGAAATGCTTAGCTGCTCTGGAGGGAMGTGAAAGAGTCAATGTGGATGATCTTAAGAAAGCTGTTAAGTATTTTTTTTTCAAATACATGTTGTTCACTTATTTGGATGTTTTGTTTGAAGAATCACATAATTAAAATCATGAAAGATGTATGAAATCTATTCCGTGGTGGCAAAGACACATAGGGTCTCTATTGCAAAATTTCAGCCCCAGATGAATAAGGTTTTCTGTGAGCAAAGAGGAGAAATATAAGGAAAGCAAATAGAGTATACAGGTGTCTGAGTCTATCTGGTGTAGGATGTGAAGGAAAAAAGTCATACAATCTTCATGGTAGTAGGAAGGATAATTAAATATATGAATTATGACAGAGATTGAATGGAGAAGAGAAAGAGAAGAAAAAGGAGAAATGGTTAACCTTTAGAGAGACCAAGAAGAAGATCACCCTAATACCCATAGATAACCTTAAACCAACATTTTTGTTCCATTGATTCTCATCTGAAATTCCAATTACAATGAATTATTGATACAGATGCAGAAGCAAGGAAAGAATTCATGAGGAATCAAACCAACTTTTATGCCAGTTTCAGAATTTTTGCTCTGTAGGGTATTGGTACCTTTTCAGTTATTTATTTTCTAGTTGTGGGTGTCTTAAAGAACTGGGTTATGTTGCTATTTCAAAATTACTATTTTTGGTAACTCTCGGTTACTATTTTTAGTAAATTCACGAGTTACTATTTTTTAGTAATTTCTGATGTCATTAAATTAAGTTTGTCTTAGTGGGATAAGGAAGGTGTTATTAGAGCTGTTTAGGAGTTGGAGTCCTTATTTAAGTGTCCTAATGGGTTACTTATGGAGTTGTCTTAGTTTTAAAGCAATTTGGAGTTGTTTTGGATCAGTTTCCTAGTCTAAATTGGACTTTGTAAGGGGACATCCGAGTTAATAAGTTGATTCTATAGAGGCATTATAGTGGGAGTTGAAGAAAAGTTTATTTGAAGAAATAAAGTTGGTTTAGTGAATTCTTGTTGTTACCAGAAATCTTCTCTTTTTTCCCCCTTCTCACTCTTAATTCTTCCTCTGAGCAATCTATCTATCTTATCTCTCTCTCTCTCTCTMTATATATATATACCATCTCATTTCTTGCTCATTCTTTGCTGGACAGAAAACATTCTACTTGCTTTTCCATTCTTATTTTTCATTTCTAATCACCCACAACTCCTCATTCACTCCATAAAGCCCACCACCAGATCCTAAATTAGTGGGACCCCTACCTCATCCTACATCATTTAGTAATAACAAGGCCCATAACAAGGCTAATAACAAGTAAATAAAAACGTAACCAATATGGTAGGCTAATAACAAGTAAATTAATAGACTGTTTCTCTACAGAACTCTCTCATGATCTTGTCTCTCAAGCTATGTTTCAGGTCAAATACATTTGGAGAAAKGTGGTTCCAATGAAAATTAGGGATTTCTGCTAGGAGGCTTTTCATATGAATATAAATGCTTGAGATCTACTTCAAAAGATAAGACCCTAATGGTGCCTATCACCCAATATGTGTTTCTTATGCAAGGCCAATGGTGAACATTCTTTCTTTCATGTGCTAATTTCCTGTCCATTTGTATCAAATACTTGGGAGTCTTTCTTTTCACTTTTTGGATGTAGGTGGACTCCTCTGTTGGCCTTGGAAGAGACCTTTTCAAGGATTCCTTTTTCTCCCATCCAAGAGGAGAGGAAAGAACATGTGGAGATGCACTAGGCTGTAGTAATTTGGACGGTTTGGGACATAAGACTACTCCATAGATGACATCATCAGGGATTGGTGTTTTGCTTTTCTTCAGTAAGGTATCTAGTACATATGTACCTATTCATGGAGCATCAAATTTAATTTCGAAGGATACAGTCTACAGGATTCGAGTGAATCAAGAGTGGGTGCTTTAAGGAATAGCCGAGATAACATAATGGCTATATTTTCAGGGATCTTAGGGCGTGGGGACTCAACAAGAGCTGAAATATTAGTGCTATTATACAAGGGACAAAAAGGATAAATCTCTTAACTAAGGCTATGTTTGGTTTGAAGGAAAAGGTAGGGAAAGGAAGGGAAAGGTAGGGAAACATATACAAGGTTTGTGAAGGTTTCCCTACCTTTCCCTTCCTTTCCCTACTTTTTCCTTCAAACCAAACACATCGTAAAGGAATTTAGTAGTGGAAGGAGACTCCAAGGAGGTGGTGGGGTGGTTAAAGAACAATGATATAGAATCTTTGATTTACACACTTTTCATGAGAGAGATACAGCAGTTAATTGGAGGCATGATGATCAATTCTCAATGGTGTAAAAGATCAGCAGACAGTCTTGCTGATGCTTTGGCAAGGCAAGGAATTCAAAGAAACCAACTGTTTTGGACCTTGATCTCATAGGGTGAATGATTTTAAGTGGATAAATAACTTTGCTTGGGATAGGTAGGAGGTCTAGCCTACCATTTTAGGGTGCAGGGCACATCTACTATATACTGTAATTTGTAACATCTATCTATTCTTTTAATAAATTAATAAAGACTGTTCTATTGCTGATTGCAAAAAAGAGACATCAAGATGATGGATGAAGCTTGGACAATTTGAACCAAGCAATATACTTCTTATGTTCTCAGGATCAGCAGGCAATTACATTGGTGACTCAAATAGAGCAGAATTATGGGGTGTGCTAGAACAGGAATCTTATAGTAGAAGGTGATTCTTGTGTGATCACAGGATGGCTGATGAAGAATGAGAAAGGGCCATGGAGATTCAGGCATGTAATCAGGGAGAAATGATATAATGGACTTAAAGAGCTACAGTATCATGGGTATCGAGGTCAGCTAATGAATTAGCATATGCTCTAACAAAATAAGGGCCACCTAAAATTCAGATGTTTTGGGGATAAAACCTCACGGGGGTAGTTGTAACAAATTATATTAAGGTTTAGTGGATGGTTAGCTGTGGTTAACCATAGCCACAGGGATATAATAGATGCATGATAAATTTTGTAGCCCTTAATTTCATTAATAATAGCAGAAACGTTAATCATAAAAAAGAGACATTGTAAATATCAGCTTGTCTCCTCTAGCCATCAACATCATCAGATTAAATTTCTAGATGCAGCCTGGTTAATCCAGGATATTTAGGCATTGAAGGAGTAAGTAGAAATAACAATGGTGATATATATTTGCTTTATTTTCTAGTCCCTTTGGCTATGGTGATTTCACAATGGCAGAATTAATAGCAGTATTAAGGAGATTGGGGAAATCCTTGTGCCACAAAGATTTGGTGAAGGGGATTAATTGTAGGCTGACTGGAGAAACAGCACTGATTCTTGGATGCATAGACACACTATAAAGGTGGTAAAACAACTAGTCTGAGGAATTGATGGAAACCTTTAGATGGACTCAAAGATCAACCGACAGTATGGCTGATGCATCCATAGTTTTCAGGTAAGGTGAGGCTAGGTGACAGGAGGCATCTTGTTGTCTAGATGCTTGGGCGATGGAGTTTTTTTAAATAAAAATTATGAATCCTAGGGTAGTAGGAACAGTAGAAACTACCAACCATCTTTGAGTTCTCCTGTTCTTACTATTAAGTTTTCCTGTTCTCTGCTCAATTTTCCATCTTTTTGAGTTGATTTTCATACATTTAATTGTTTTAAGATGAGCAGTATTAATGTTCAGTTTTTAACAGTTTGATTCAGTATTTTCATTATCTTAAAGGATTGTATATGGATTTATCTTATACTTAGAGTTATTATAATTTCATTGTAAAGTTGATTTGAAGAATAATAGTTATAGTAAATCACTGTTTTGGGAGCTTGCTTCTGATATTTCCTCTGATAACTTATATTTTACCTTTTCCTATTTCTTTCTATCTCTCTATGCTCTAATTCCAATCCTGAATCTCCATATGCATTTTATCACTTTTCTTCTCAATTTATCATATTTTTGTTTCTTAGAGAATTGCGTAGCTTAAATTCCAATGTTCTCTTTATTYCTTCTCTTAAATATCTAAAATCTTTCCATGATTTCTTCTATATAAAATAATCCATCCTGTACATCACAAATTTACACTATCTTTCCTAGTAGTTGATTTGCCACTATAATTCTGTTTATCACCACTCTAAACTCTCCCTAGCTCAAATAGATCACCTTGAAAATCCCTATTTTTCAACCAAAAATTCAATCACTTGACTTTTGATATTTTTTCGATCTTTTTTATGTATTGGAATTGGRTCAAAATGTAGCATGTGGATGTTATAACTATTTATGCTATGCAGACTTTTCTCTGAGATTTTATGCATAGCAATATAGTAAGATTGATTGATTGTTGGGATCATCATATTCTTTAGTGGGTTTTTTTTTCATTTTGATCTCTCTTTAGTTGGCTTTCTATACAACTGGAATATTGTTTCTTGATCTTGTGCATGCTTGCTAAATGTCCACAAATATTTAATGCTTTGTGCTCATAGACAACTCACTACTTGAAATTCTAAATTTCCTATCTTGCTTCTGGTTTTGTATTCCATCTTTCCTGCCAAATGCTCAAATTGTTTCCACATTAAACTCACCATCCCTTATTGGGTTGGAACAGACTTCATGGCTTATTGTCTTGCAAGGATTTCACTTTTGAGTATTAAAGGACTGTTACCCAATGCTGTTCTGGTTATTCAAGACCTTGGGAGGGGTGGACTGAATATGGATGATTCCTAATTTTCTTCATTACATGTAAATCTTGATATGCATGTTCATTGCTCCAGAGATTTTGATTTCTTTTCTATATGCTTGGTACCTATATTAAGCTTACCAAACTGCATCGAAAAGCCTGTGCAGACAAATGAACGACTTATTGATTTTGACATATACTACCATTTTCATGCTAATATTTAGTTCTCTTCAGGTAGAGTTGGTCATTCTACCTCGTTCAATCATAAACGACAACCCACAGGAACAGMAAAACCAGCCGCCTCCACCTCCACCTCCACCTCCTCCACAAAATCAAGATTCTGCAGAGGACCAAAGTGAAGAAGATCAAGAGGTTGACTGCAGTTTATCAATTTTCCAATTTCAACTAAAATGTCCTTGCAATGCATCTTGCTTTCCATATGAAGTTTGAACGTCAAATATGAAAGTATGCTGAGATACTAAAGTTATTTTGTACCCAGGAGGACAATGACCAAGAGAATGAGCAACAGCAGGAACAAATACCTGAGGAGTTTATCTTTGATGCTGAAGGTGGTTTGGTAGATGAAAAACTTCTTTTCTTTGCACAACAAGCACAAAGACGTCGTGGAAAAGCTGGACGGGCCAAGAATGTCATATTTTCTGAGGACAGGGGGCGATACATTAAGCCAATGCTTCCAAAGGTTAGATCCCTACTCCCTTGCCCCAAAAAAGAAAAATGAGAAAGAAAGAAATGCAAAATGAACAGAGATTTCATTCTATATCTGAAGTTGATGCATCTCTGGATGCCATGATGAAGAAATGATTCTTCTCTCAGCACTGCAAAACTTTACCAGTTTAGGGTTTTCTTTTTCCTTCTGTATGTTAAGATTTTTTTTTTTTGATAAATGTCTTCTGTATGTTAAATTACCTGTTCTACTTTTGTTATTAACCTTGTGGATATTTAACCAGGGTCCAGTTAAGAGACTAGCTGTTGATGCAACCCTTAGAGCAGCTGCACCATATCAAAAGTTGCGAAGAGAGAAAGACATTCAGAAGATTAGGAAAGTGTTTGTAGAAAAGTCTGATATGAGAGCTAAAAGGATGGCACGGAAAGCTGGAGCACTGGTAATATCTTTTGTTTCTTTTAATACTTATCCTATTGTTCTACAGCTATAGTTTTTAGATATAGGTAATATTGTATATACACAAGAGGGATGTACAATGATTTTGGGGATTTTGATCCCCAGCCTTATATATCAAAGATTAGGTAGGTATAAACATGGTTATCAAGGTGGCAAGGTGAGACTAGGAGACAGGATATCACCTTGTCGACTAAGTTCTTAGGTCGGTGCTTTGGGTGGCACTTAGGTGGGTATAATTCATGTTGATATGTATCTTATTATCAATTTTTTGTTATCTTGTTTTGAAAAACACTAATAATAATGGTTTCTGCAGACAAAGAAATATTACATCATTAATTTTTTTCAATTGGGCATATTATATTTCACAAAGCAATCAGGGGCAAGGACACATTCTGGAGCCTATGTAAAAAGTAAAGAAAAAGAGTCTGGTGACAGTGGTCATCACTTGGGCTGCTTGGTAGTTTTACATGCTCATAACTTTTCTTAATTAATGATATTTTTATTTATCAATAAAAAAAAGCACTTTTAATCATAATCTTCACTATTCCATATACAATATAATCAACTCCATTGAACAATTAGCAGGGCATATTTTATTTTTGGGTAGAACAACACATTACAGCATATTGGATCCAGCACCCAAGCAAGAGATTTTTGCAGCCAAAATCCAAGCAAATAAGTAATGGACACTATACTAAGATATGATGAGAGGTGCCTGCCTTATCCTCTTCATTGCCCAAGAAGGCACACTGAGCATGTATGAAAAAAAGTTATAATATAAAGGTGCACTCCAGAAAATGCCATGTTGCCTAGGTGTCTCCTTGATGACATGGCAAGAGCTAGAAACTATAGAAGAAAGTCATCACACCAACCATCCAACCCTTGCAAGATCATCTGTTACCAAGTTAGTCTTCTTAGAATTCATCAACTTTGGAGTGGATACGCTGGTAGGATGTATCTGATCTTATTAAGGTAACGAGTCAAGTAGCCAACATCTACAGCTCCCACCAGCAGTCACTGCTTAACCTTATACTGTTGACTGAATACTCACACCAACCCTTGCAAGATCATCAGTTATCAAGTTAGTCCTCTTACAAYTCATCAACTTTGGAGTGGATACACTGGTAGGATGTATCTGATCTTATTAAGGTAACGAGTCAAGTAGCCATTAGCCAACATCTATGGCTCCCTCCAGCAGTCACTGCTTAACCTTATACTGTTSACTGAATCTCTCTCTGTAGCAAGAGAGGAAAGTTAAGTCCCTTTACTATGTGGGCCCCTTTGGAAAGCTCTGCTTTTGGAGCTTGGACTCCTATGGCCCTACTGAAGTCCAACAGTGCTCTCCCATCTTTGAACTCTACCCACTACTGCAAGGCTGGGACTCCCCAAGAAGCTGTCTTAATTGTAACTCTACCTGTCCTATTATCAAAACAGAGGTGGCCTTAAAAGCTGGTGACGGGGTGTTGACCTAGAATTTACACTGGATTCATTTGAATTTGTTGGTTGCTAGGCTGAATGAATTCAACAAGGGATAAATATCTGCTTATGGCTTCAAAGGGGGCTTCTTCCTTCATAACATGCACCTTTTTCTTTCTTCTAAAATCCCCAATTGACCATGAATTGCCTTTGACTATATAGCCCCAAAGTTTGGTTTCAAGAGCACATTGTAAATTGTATGCATTACATTTTGCTGTAGGTAGTTCTGCAATTCTTTTTGGTATACAATTTCCTTATAATTTGAAATTCTGATGACCCAGGCATTAAATTGTTGTTCCACTATCAGTTCCAATCCTGCTTGAAACCAAGATGAAATCTTGAAATTTTTGAACTTCTCAGAGATTTCTATCAAATCAGAATTCAGTCCTATGCTTTTACCAAAAGAAGATATTAAAGATCACTTTACCAACAAAGGAAAGAACTGCATAGCCTCTAATTTATTTCTGTGCAGCTCTGCACTGCACAGAATGAACCATGTAGTTCTCTAAATGTGTCTTCTGTGGCAGGTAATATTTGTTGTTGATGCTAGTGGGAGTATGGCATTGAATAGAATGCAGAATGCAAAAGGTGCAGCACTTAAATTACTTTCAGAAAGTTATACAAGCAGGGATCAGGTAAGTTAAAAATTTTGAATATATCCGGAGAAAAGCATGAGTGCACTCTTAGATTCTAAGATAAAAGGATTAAGTTTAAATGACCTTTATTTAAATATTCCTTTCACAATTGTAGAGATTTGTTTATCTTCTGAATGTTATTATTAATTACTTCTGATTAGTTTTCTCTAGTTTTGACTATATACAATAATTTAAAATAGACAAATGGTGTTTTGCTTTCTTAGCAACTGATGTGACTTTATGCATTGAAGCCTACTTACTCTCAATATTACATGCTAATAAAAAGAAGTTAATTTCTATTTAATTGCTTTTTTCAGATTTCCTTCATAATTGGTATTCTGATAAATGTATTTTGTTGACTAAAATAATTTTCTACGACGCAACTCATTCATTTTCAACTGACCCATTTACTATCTATTATGTAATTGAATAATCCTTTATATTTGAATGAGTGAGGAATCAAATGTTTTGACAATTCCTCATGGGGGGATGAATCAAGATAATTTTGAAACAGAGGGTTGGATATTTGTTCATCCTTCGTTGTAATAATATCTTGGGGTTTGTAGGGATGACTTGATATATCTAGTATATGACCATTAACTTAAATATGTCTATGGTTAACTAAATTCCAGGCTCCGGTAATGGTCAAAACCATGCCCAATCGAAAAAGGATGCTACCCAAATGTATTTAAAGAAATTGTAGTAAAACCTGACACGTTGACCCTTGGCTTTCTAGCAGTATGAATGCATTTAAATAATTACCACTCTGTCAGATCATAATGAAAACACAATTTTTGTTTTACTTCTAAATGAATACGACATTGAAATCCTTTTCTGGAACACACTTGGTTTCTAATATCACTTCCGGCCTTTGGCTTTTTACTAGTTGGTCCCAGTAAAGTTCCTAGACGATGTACTTTTTTTTTTTGGGAAACTAGGCCCTTGGTAATGAAACAGAAAGGTTCCTTTTTATTGAAATTTCAATTTACAAAACAAACCCAAGTATTTTAGTTTCTTTTCCCTCCCCCCACCCCCCAGAAAAAATGTACAAGAAAAAGGGAAGAAACAAACATATATTATCAGATTTCACCCCATGCCATATTTGGAAGAAAGTAATTATTGATTTCTAGATGATTCAAAGACAAGTTTTGGAAAAAAAATATGAATAAGAGAATTCTGTGGTGGATTAGAAGCTGAAGGAGAAAGGGTTTCTTCAATATTTGAGTATTGAGAAATTAGTAGGACATTTCAAAGTCCACATTAGACTTCATATCTAATTGAGTAGGAAACTTCATTAAGCTATGCTGAATTCAATGACTTTCTKCTACTTTAATCATGGGTTTCCACATTTTACTTGATTAATATTTGAACATTCATTAGTATAGCAATTCATTAGGATTAAAATGGGTTCACTTATACACAAAACCTTTTAAGATTGTTATTTCATTAGTTTTACATATTAATCCCATTATGTGCAAGTATCTATCCACCTTTCCTATATTTGTATAAAGTTCTTTTTCCCTGTACTGCATTTGCAGTTAATGTTATGACTAATTAGTGTTCAATATTAAATAGGTTTCTATTATTCCTTTCCGTGGAGATTCTGCAGAGGTTCTTCTACCACCTTCAAGGTCAATTGCAATGGCAAGAAAGCGTCTTGAGAGACTTCCATGTGGTGGAGGTTCTCCTTTAGCTCATGGTCTTACAACGGTATTTGTCAACCAAATGACAATGCAGTTCCATGTTCTCAAAGAATTTCGCAAAATGTTTTAATGCTGGTTTCCAACCTGAAACAGACCTCCTTTATCTAGTCTTGATTTAAGCAAATCATTTAATTGTTGTTCTAGGTTACTGAAACCTCATTTTTATGTTCTGGCCCTTCTGTTGCATCTGCTTAGGCTGTCAGAGTTGGACTGAATGCTGAGAAGAGTGGTGATGTTGGGCGTGTAATGATTGTTGCAATAACTGATGGCCGGGCCAACATATCACTGAAAAAATCTACTGATCCTGAGGCTGCTGCTACCGATGCACCTAAACCATCTTCACAAGAATTGAAGGTAAGTATCTGCTTTTTTTAGCTGCAAAGTATTAAATATTAAATATCTATCCATTTCTTTGCAATGAAAGAAGTAAATTTATTTAATTAGTACTAACTTATATCACTCCACCATGAAGGATGAAATTCTTGAAGTGGCGGGAAAAATATACAAAGCAGGGATGTCTCTTCTTGTTATTGACACTGAAAACAAATTTGTTTCAACTGGGTTTGCCAAGGAGATTGCCAGAGTCGCTCAAGGTCTGTTAATTAATGATCCTTTGGTGTTTGAACTATGAAGAAATTCTTTGATAACCTAACCATTTCAACAATTTCATTGGGCAGGAAAATATTATTATTTGCCAAATGCTTCAGATGCTGTTATCTCAGCTACAACAAAGGAAGCATTATCAACCTTGAAAAACTCATGATTTTTGTGGAAGTTTTTACTAACAAGTTTATGAGAATGTATAGTATTTCCCCTATGAAGAGTGATTTTTTTCCCCTTGAGGCTGACAGAGGCTTAGTTCTAGCAAAAAGACATAGCATGCAATATCTTTGGGTTTCTTTGCAATTACTTGATAAATTGAATATAGTTGTGCATGGAGACACAGACAGTAAGTAAGAAGTGCAACCAAAATACAAGGCACAAGGCACAAGGCACAAGGCACAAAGCTAGGCATGCTCCTTAGTGAAGGGAGATGCCATCTATCAAGGAAAGAGTCGAAAGTAAAATTTAATGTATGACAATATGCAAATCAAATTTCTGAAATAAGAAATATTCTATTGGCTTAGTTGGCTAAACTTGAAAGCTGTTGTGGTATTGTAGGTTTTCAGTCCTTCATAAGCTACATTATTTATGCTATAAAAACCATACTGCAACCTATAATTATAGTAAATTACCTATTAATACATCAAATTCAAGACTAATTAATCAAAACATCAGGAACACCTCCCTTGTCCTTCATGGTGAGATTCTCCCAATGTATCTAATGGAACGTTGTTGGAACTGGGAGCCGGTCCAGTCTTGATCYAGTACATGTTCTCGCCTTTTGGTTGGTATTTTTTTCAATTAAAAGAATTGACACTTTGAATTGTTGATATTGTTTTGCATGAGCTCAAATGCGGGGCAAATTCTAGGGGTGCAACTTTAACGGGTTAGGATTGGGATTTTGTCAAAATTTCAATGGATCCAACCCAAAGCCCGAGCTCAGAACAGTGTAAACTGTTAATTTAGACCACCCCTACTGAGTTCAGTATCCCCTCTCCCTTCAATTGGGTTGTGTTGGGTTCGGTTTGAGGCAAATCTGTATCGAACCCGACCTATTGACAGCCAGACATGAACTCTTTTTAGTATATACTTGCACACGAAGGTAGCTTTATTGAGTTGTGGAACAGGTGTTGTTCCCTGGTGAGAAGGGAAGAAAACTAGCATGAATAAGGACAGAAAACAGAGGGTTATACCCTATAAGAAAGGTTTCCTAGGGCCCAGTTTGGAAGGAATACAAATACAAATATGTGGAATATAAAATATTTTATTCTGTATTATCTTATATGTATTTGTACTGTACATATTTGTATTTCTACTCTTTCCAAACTAAGCCTAGAAAGGGAAAGCCCTCTTTTAGTTATATATGTTCATGGAACGCTAAATCACTAGTTTATGCGACTATTGGACACCTCCCCCAACAAACATGGTCCAACCTTTGAAAAGACTACTAGTTTCTATGATTTTAACTTCAAGTGAATATAACCAACCGAGGGCTGGCTCGTTGGTGTATTAGYTGGTTTGTTTCAGTATTGATGTGAAATTAAATCCTACAACCAGCACTTTGGGAAAAAAAGGGATAAGGGGAAGTTATTAATGGTGCATGACACCGAATACAAAAAACAGAAAAGAAAATCAAGTGAATATAAAAGCTACAGTGGAAAACTTGTTAAGCCCAGCAATTATACCATGTTTCAAGTCTCTTTCTTTGCATTTTTCTAGTCTAACCCAGTCAAGCTGCAATATTGAAGTCCCCCTTGGAATTATCCCAAATCTATATTGTCTTAACTAGCCAGGTTGCTGAAAGTGAAGTAAACAAGAAAGACTTCTAATCTTTTTCCCTACTCTTTCACTGYAGTTCTGTGAAGCCTTTCAAATTCAGAGTACAAAGTATTTCCCCAAGCCTTTCAAATAGACTAAAAGGCGTTCTACAATATGAATGTTTTGTTATCATTTGTTTTTCTTTTTTTTTTTTTTTAGGTTGGTTTTGTTTAAAAAAAAACATATATGCTTTTGGACAATCAAAATAATGGGTTTTAAAAGTAAAACAAAGTTTTTGGTAGAAAAATTATATGATTTTTGGATATGATATTAAATAACCAAATGAAAACATGTTTTTAAAACAAGAAATTTAAGAACGTATTTTTTACTTCAGTTTTGAAAACAAAAATGCGTAAACAAAACATGGTTTTTTCACGCCCCCAAAAAGGTGAAACATGTTGATTTTCTTTTTTTCTTAAAAGCAAGAACAAGCTGATTTTACATTCATGAGAGTACAAATGCTGAATTGACGCCACTTTGTACTTTCATTACAGATATTATGGTTGTGCTTGTTTCCCATGCAAATCTCAACAAGATGCAAAATTTTGCACTCACTATAGTTTTGCATCGATTTATGATTATGATTCGTTCTTTCACATGATACAAAATTTTCAATTTTTGACTCATTTGCATCATTAATAAAATACAAATATTTTGAAAAAACCATACAAACTTTGCACCACTTCCTCGTACAAAATTATTTTACTTCTTAAATACAAACAAAACAACGGTCAAATTTGGAGCAAACTCCTATGAATTTACACCAATGCAAGCAATCAAGCGGAGCCTATATGCCTTACATTTGGGGTCTGTTTGCTTTTTGGGGGGAGGGTGAGCGGGCCAATGGGATTGGTGGTGGTGGCTTTTTTTTTCGGGGGGGAGCTGGTCAATGGAATTTTGGTTTTCATTGACCAAGAAACCAATATTCTTTTTTTAGATTTATGCAGTGACAAGGGAAAATAAAATTTATTTTCTTATATCCATTTCCCATAGTCTCAGGTGGATAAATAACTTTTCCACTTAAGAGAAAATTGGTAACACTTGGATGGGACAAAAATGCCCCTTTTAATAATAGATTTTTATGGCTAAACCATCATTTTCTTATTTATTTAAGAAATAAAAGAACATGGATAAATACACTTACTTATCCAGATAAATAATTTACTGAAAAGCGAACAGGACCTTGGTGTTATGTTTTTGTTTTAATTTTGGAGTATATTTGCACCACCCCCGATGACATTAATAACATGTGATGGAAATAAATTTCTTGCCATGGTTAAACTTTCTGCCATCTCCACTGAACATGCTTCAAAGGGATTTCAATAGTGGATTTTCCACCATCTCCACTCAAATTCATTCCAAGAAGGGGATCAAGGCAAATAGGGAGATTGCTACCAAATCAAAAACATAAGCTATAGGCCTATAACAACGGGGCATTCAAAGAGAAGATGAGAGAGCAAGTTAGCAGAGTTGTCAAACATCAGGCATGTAGGTTTAATATTGGACTTGAGTTTTAAGATGGGAGTTCACATTGGCACCCCACATGCACATCTCAGCATGCATTGGGAAATGGGAACATCTCTCGTATTTGTTAGTGGGAGATGTTCTCTAAACATGGTTGGGATGTGCAGTTGAGCACTGATGTGAATTCAGTTTGTGGAAAAGACCACTCAATCTATCAACCAATTAGAAAAAGGTTTTGTAAGAGAAACTGCACACTAATAGACCTGTAATCTACAAAACTTTGAGGGTTCTAGCATTTAGGTATCAAAGAAATATAAGCAGAAGTATAACTTAGAGGAAGGTCCATACCAGGGAAGAAATCCAAAAAGCCGCGCTCACATCATCACAGATAATTTTCCAGCAATGTCTATAAAAATAGCCAGTAAAGCCATTCGGGCTCAAGATAGGATCTGCTCCTCACATGTGCATCCACCGTGCATTAGGAACATTTCCTGTGAATAATAATTAATAAGTGCGGGAGATGTTCCCAATGCATGGTAGGATATGCGTGTGAGGTGCCAGGTGTGAAGAGCAGATCCGGTCTCTTCGGGCTTGGAGCGGAATCCTTAGAAAGGAAAACTACAGTTTTTATTTCTTCCACTATAGGAAGGAGAAGCAAATGCATATTATCATCTTTTGGTAATAGATGAAGAGATAATGTCTATAAGACTAGGGGTGCCAATTGGACTGGATTTGGTCCAATCCGGTCCAATCTGATCCAGTCCAATGTGAATCCGTTATAAATGGCTCAGGTCCAATCCAATCCAATGAATATTTTGGACCAATTTGGACTGGTCCAATTCAATGTCTGGACCGTTCAATCTGTTCAAAACCATTTTGATTTAGATTGGTTTCAACCCAAACCCAGTCCTTTGACACCTATATTCTTATCTTATATCAATGGACCAGATATTGGCTTAATTCAATCTAATCCAATATAAATGTATTATGAACGGACCAGGTCCAATCCAATATGTCTTATTAGTGCATCCAAACTGTTCAAATTGATTTTGGACTAGGCGGGGTTCAATCCAAAACCGGTCCATTGACACCCTTACATGGAAGGGCCTTCTTCAGAAGAATCCATCAACTTATAGAGAAGAGGGCAGCGATCTGAATATAAACTTTTCAAATGTTTAACTGCAGAAGGAAACCTAGAAAGCCAAGTGTTGTTTACCAAACCACACGATCCAGTCGAGCCTATATACAAGCTTGACCTTCTCTCCCACTGCACCAAGTGAAGGTATTACACTTAAAGCCGGGGTCATGTCAGACGGTAGAGAAAATAAAATCCTAGAAATTCCTCATTAGTTGAAACGATTAGGTATATCACCGAATTCTCTTTGGGCTGATGGCGGGTTAAGTTTAGAAGCTTTATCACCAGAAGTTGGAAGCTCAAATCTAATAGATAGAGTGGACCCATTTGACAACAAAGTATCAGCAAAGGCATTGACGGCCCAGCCATCACCAAGGGTCCACCTACAACCCATATCCAAAAATCTATATTATATTCTGAAATGCAATTGACCATGCCAAATTTCTTATATTGTTATCCAACCCTTTTAGAATTTTGTAGTTTATTCAATCTTTAGGTTTTATTTGATAAAGGAATAAATACAAAAATGATCAATACAAAATATGTTTGGTTCATAAAAATGCAAAGTAGGTTTAGCTTTCAAATGATATTTTTGTGCTCTTGCCAAATTATTTTTAGTTATGATAGGCATAAATACAAATCCCATAATCAGAATCCTCTTTATATATATATATATATTCATTAAGTTTGAGTGCAAAGTTTTACATTCATTTTTTAGATGCAAACCTGTTCTCAGTTTGGATATAAATATGTCTTAAAATTCATGTTTGCTGTCATTTTCAATACACATATACATTCTTCTTAAATAACAGCAAAATTGAACTGGTATTTGCACTCTTTCCAAAGGAAGCCTTCTGATGAAGGGAAATTTGGCCCGACCCCGCGATCGCCAGACACGTGGCAAAGACAAGCAGCTCGGGACAGTAGAGCGCCCAAAGCGAACATCGGAAGCAAGTCCAAGCTCACTACCGAGCCCGAACTCCAGACCGCTGTACT